CCTGATTTGAGCAAGAAGAAAGGTCTGACTCCCAAGCCTTCATCTGCTGCGTGGCCTTGGGTGGCCTCTCTGACTTCCTCTCCGTAAAACACGTCTCTTGCCTGCACGCCTGTCCTCCTAGCCGCTCGGGAGGCCAGGAAGATGGCAAGTTCAAGGCCAGCCTGGGCAACTTTGTGAGACCCTGTACCAAAATAAAAAATAAAACGGGTTGGGGACGGAGCTCAGGGGTAGAGCACCCCTGGGTTCAATCCCTAATGGCACAAAACAAAACCAAACCCACACAGACACACACTCTCTGTCTCAGGCTCCCTAACCATCCCTACCACATTTGAAAGTGGAAGTGAACTGGTGGGTCTCCTATCCAAATGCCTGACACAAAGTATCCCTCCTGTTAAAGAACAGGAGGGATAAAGAACAGAGAAGCAAAGTAACTTGCCCGAACACACACAGCTAAAGAACGAAGGAGCCCGACTTTCCACCTGGGTCTCTCTAACTTCAAAACCTGAGCTTCTACCCAAGTAAGCACTCCACCAATGGTGGCTCTTCCTACGCACTATTTGCTGTAAGTGGAAAAAGTAAATGGATAATGCAGATGGAGGGCAGCTGTCTCCTTCTGAGCAGGGTCTCCCCTTGGTATTCCCAGGGAGCTACTTTCTGGAAAGCCCAGCCACGGAGCCCCAGGGGGAAGCTGCACCCCTCCCAGCAGTGTGTGTGTGTGTGTGTGTGTGTGTGTGTGTGTGTGTGAACACTCCCTCCAGCTCTGAGCATTCCTGGGGGCGAAGGAGGAGGGGCAGGCCCTGGAGGTCCAGGTCCTACAGCCAGGCCCTGAAGGTCAGGACCACATCCTTTCAACCTGGAGAGGCTGTTCCTTGGATCTGTCAATTTATTTCTGTGAAAGTCATTGCAAAGATAAACAATTTTAATCACTCTCAGTTGTACATTTAATGAACTGTCATTTTTTTTTTTTTTGGAAATGATTGCAAATTACACAGAAAAGGAGACAATTCAGAAAAAACAAAAACAGAGAGGAACACCAGGAGGCCATGATTAAACATTGGAAATGCAGCCTCCTCGGAAGAGCTGGGCTGCAAGGTCACCCGGGCTGGGGTGGAGGAGCTTCTACGGTGTCTAGCGTCATCTGGCAAGCCGGCCACACGTCACGCTTACAGAGCATTCTCCACGTTCCCGAGCTTTCCGCAGGTTCAAGTCGCTCAGCGCCTGAGGAACCACTAAGATGCCCGTTTTAGCCAGGCGCCGTGGTACAGCCTGTGATCCCGCAACTCAGGAGGCTGAGGCAGGAGGATCGCGAGTTCAAAGCCGGCCTCAGCAACTTAGCGAGGCCCTGAGCAACTCAGGGAGACCCTGTCTCTAAATAAAATACAGAATACGGCTGGGGAGGTGGCTCAGTGGCTGAGCACCCTGAGTTCAATTCCTACCACCTGTCCCCAAAACAAAACAGATGCCCATTTTAGACAGCCCCAGAGCGTTGAAATGAGAGGCTTCAGGTAGGAAGCAGTAGGTGATGCCCCTCCCAGCAGAGAAGAAGGGGAGCCGGGCCCTGGGGAGCCCCCAGCTCAATCCCCCCAGTCATAAATGTCATCCTTTCTAGTGGTTTCGAACACTTTTTAAATGGAAGACATGTTCTCCTTGAGGTCCTAAGTGCGACACCGTGGTACAGACCCATGGCCAAGGCCACCTGCTCCTGCTGGAGCTGGGGAGGTGTCCTTTCCCTCCCTCGGTCCTTAGGGGCCCGAGAGCCCATCCACGACCACCCTTCTTGTCCAAATGCCATGGAGGGCTGAGGCCCAGCAGGTAAGGGAATCACGGGGATGAGCAGGACTGGAACCCGGGCTGTGGTCTTCTGGCCCGAGGCTCTTTTCTCCATGTCCCAGGAGACGTGCCCCAACACGCACACCAGGTGTGCTGTGGCCAGGAGCTGGGCCACAGGGCCCGGCCCCCTCAGCATGGCCAGCTGGGCTCTCTCCCCAGGTTCTGGAGAAAAATAGAGTCTAAGAGCTTCCTGAAGGAGACGTATTTTCAAAAGAACCATCTCTACTGCACCCACACTTCAAGGCCGCGGGAAGGCCTGGCCTCAGCCCCCAGCTCTCCAGCCACGGCTTCCAGGGGCGATTCTTCCCCAGCTTCCCCGTGGGAACAATGAATTCTCTGCAGGTCCCTCCTGGAGCAGGAAAATGGGGCGTAGAGGCTTCTGGACCAGGTCACTTCTGGGTACATGTCAACCAGCTGCTCAGAGGGGGCCTTCTCCCTCCTCCTCTCCCTGCCCATGATTGCCAGCCCACTCCCAGCCCAGCCTTCTCTCTCTCCCCCCTCTGCACCGGCAACTTCTCCTTCTTTCTCAGTTTCCCGACTGAGAAAGAGTCCAAGGCACTCGGCCATTTGCCTACGCCCCCACTTCACAGAGGAGGCCAGAGAAGGGGGAAGCCTCCCCAAGAATATCTTGGGAGTGCTGTGCTCTGCCAGAGTGGCTTTATCTCCTGCAGGACCACACTCTCCGGGTTCCTAACTTTTGAAAAAAAAACAAACAAACTTTTTTTTGGCTTCATCTACAGAAGTTGGTGTTTCCCAGTTGAGGGACCTCACAAGGCTATGGCTGCCAGGCTTCCTCGCCTTCGGGTCCTCACTAATCGTCCATTTCAACAGAGAGTAGGGCCCAAGCCCACCGCCCTCCCAGTGGGAATTCTTTTTAATGGTGGTTAAGGATACACTGTTGGAATTTAATGGTACTGTTTTACTTTCATTGTATTTATTTTTACGTTTCTTTCTATTTATAGTAATGGGATGCTGGTTTCCCATTTATGGTAATGATATAAGATATCTTTTTTAAAACCAGCTTCTTTAACTAAAACAAAAAATAAAATCAGGGTTGATTTAAAGACCACTATTAAGCAGAGGCCTCAGGGGTGCACAGAGAGGGCCCAGTTCTCCGTGGAGGCAGGAGAGGACGGAGGCCTGGGAATATTGAACTGGACTCACCTCCAGCTGGGCAGGTGGGCTGCTCCACCCTCCTTCCTCGTTCTCCCCACCTGGTCTTGGAGCCCAGGCCCTCGGGGCTCCTTCCGGCCTCCCTCTGATATTTCTGGCCTCTACCTCCCAAGTACCAGCTCCCTTGCTCAGGTCGACTTTTTTTCCTCCTGAAGTGTCCACGGGGCCTCCCAGAGCCTCCCTCAGCAGCAGTCGGAAGGCCAGCCTCTCCCCTTCCCCTGTTTGGGCAGCTGGAGGAGTGAACGGAGACCTCTTGTCTCATCCTTGCTTCTGCAGAAATCCCACTGTGAGATTTTCTCCTCTAGGTGAGGCCGTCCTCACACTGGTCCCTTGAAGAACTGGGAATGGGGGCTTTTTCTCCCGTCTCCATGGTCCACTCTAGACACTCCGCCCCAATTCAGCTTTCTCTGTGATCCAGTGTGTAGTGGTCACCAGGACCAGCTGTCCCTTAACTCCTTGGAGGAGCATACCTATTTCCTGGAGTGTGGACAAGGAGAGGCAGCAACTTCCTGCTCCTCAAAACCTCTGTCCCACGGCTGACACCACCAAACATTCACAGCCAAGACAGGAGTGGCTTCGATTCCTATCAGTCACTCACTCCTTAGTGAGAATCAGTTAGCCACGGCCTTCCTGCAGTGTGTGCTTCTGTGTGTGTGTGTGTGTGTGTGTGTGTGTGTGTCTGTCTGTCTGTCTCTCCAGGGTTCACCCACAGGGACCCTTCAGAGCTTCAGAACTGTGTGGCCAAGGGAAGAACACGGTGCAATCGGAGCCTCTCTTCTAGGCAATTATGAGCCCTCTCTCTGTGCTGCCTGCTTTGATCCTCTGGCTTGGGCAGGGCCCAAGAGGTTAAATGTCCCCGTGAAGTCATATGTCGGGGCCAGGGAGGGGTGTTGCTGGGTCAGTAGTACACAGGAGAGACTAACTGCTCCCCGCAAAGCCCCAGCCCAGAGGTTGGCCCCTGGCAATCCAGTCATTTGCATCTGGTCGGTCTGCTTCCTCCCGCCAGAGCCCAGTCTCTGCAAGCCCAGGAGGACCCACTCCCCAGGTCGCAGTGGAGGAGTCCCCCGCCCATCCTGCAGGAGGGCCCAGGGCGCCGCGTCAAAGTTCCCCGGAATGAATCCTTCGGGTCTGGCGTGCCACTGTCCCGTTCCCCCGGTGACCTCCCCAGCTCAGACCAAGCGAGGGCGGGGAGCGCGGCGGGGCCAGGGACCGGGTCGGGGCGGAGGCGGGAGGTGGGCAGAGGGACCCCCGGGACCCGGAGCGAGGTCTGGATGCCGGCGGGAGGCGGAGGCCGAGGCTGCGGCCGGGGAGACGTGCCTGAGCGGCGGCGGCGGCGGCGGCGGCTGGCGACGGGAGGGAGGCGGCGGCGAGGGGCGGGAGCGGGAGGGGGCGGGACGGAGCGGGGCTGGAGGTGGGGCCGGCGGCGGCGGCGGGCGGGCGGCTGCAGCTGCCGCCGGCGTCTCGGGGGCTCCAGGCTGCGGGCGGACGCAGCGCCGAGCGATCCACCGCGAAGCCGCGCGAGGCCGCCCCTGCCCGAGCCCCGGCCGCGGCCCGGAGCGAGCGTCGCCGCCGCCTCGCGCCGCGGGTCCCCGGCCGCGCCGCCACCGCCAGGCAGGCAGCGGGCGCCCTGCAAGTTGGGAGCGCGCCTCTCCGCCCGGGAAACTTTCCCCCGCGGCCGCCGGCGATTGGCGCGGGGTCCGGCCGCCGCTGCAAGGTAGGCGCGGCCCGCGGGGCGCCCCGTCGCTGCGTCCCCGGGGCCCGGGACACCCGCGCGCGACCCCTGGGAGAGCGTTCCGCCCCTTGGGGTTTGGGGACGGGATGCGAGTCCCACGATCGTCCCGGGGAAGCCCAGGAGCCAAGTTCTACTCCAGCTAGCCTTGGAGGGGGCACGGGAAACGCACCAGCCCCGGTCCCTGTCCGGAGACCGCCCAGGACCGCGAGCTTCGCCCAGGACAGGTGCAGGACCTGGCGGCGACAAGCGCTCCCGGGGGCTGAGTGGGAGCTCCCGAGAGTGGCCAGGGGTGGTGGTGGCAGGTGTGGTTTCAAGGTTCAGGGCTTCTGCCAGGGCTGTGCCCGAAGGAAAGGGGTGCGTCCCGCGCCAGCCTGGAGGAGGACCGGTAGGGACAGAGACCCGGAGGGGGATCCGGCGGGGAAGATGGCTGGACCCGGCCGGGCACTGAGCGCGCGCCGCCTTTGGGGTCCCAGGCGGCCAGGCAGGGCGGGGGCGCCTCGCTCTCTTCCCGCGCCCGCGTTCTTTCCTACGAGGGATGTGCGGCGGGGTTCGGCGGAGGATCGGTGGGTGCTGCGTGGGTCGGAAGCTCGGGCTTCCCGGGGTTAGCGTGGAGGGAATGGCTCGGAGCGCCGCGGGCCACGGCGGTTCGCGCCCGCGCTGGCTCCGGGCTGGAGCGAGGTGAGTGTCCCCGCCAGGGGGCGCACTGCCAGGCCACTCTCCCTCGGAAGGCGAGCGCCGGCGCTACCCGCGCTGAAATGGGGACACGCGGAACCCCAGCCCCACTGCCCGCAGGCTGGGCTCCAGGACGCACGGGCACCCGCCCCAGTGGACCCGGGGAGGGTCCCGAGCCTGAGACTCGCCTGCCGCGGTTATCACTGGACAGATCGGCTGACATGAGGTGATTTTTCCTGGGGGTCTGCAAAGGGTGAGTGAAACATTCACCCCCAGAAAAACAAAAACGAAAGAAACTTTCCGAGAGCAGGGAGCTGGCGTGGAGAGCGTGGCTTGGAACGTTCACTTTTTGAGGTTTCTTGAAGTTTCCAAAACCCAAACTGTGGAATGCGTCCTTTCTGTACAAGTGGCACCTTTTGTTCCTCGGATCTGGCCCCATCTCTAGGTGTGGGCTGGGTGGGGTCTTGGGGTGGCGCCACTCTTATCCATTCTCTCCCTGGGAGCAGTCAACGCGGAGGAGCGGGGCGGGGGAGGGGCCCAGAGAGCCGCTGCCCCGGCCGAGGTGTTGGATTTCTCAGGGGTCAATTTCTCACCCCTTAGGTCTGGGGTCTCCAGGGCACGTTCATCTGGTCATTTCACAAGTACTGGTGAAACCCTGCCCGTCGTCCCTGTTACCTCCCTCAGGACTTCTGTGTGTTGAGTCCGTGTGGCTGTGCCTTGGGAAGTGAGCTAGCTGCGGGCATCTGTGAAAAGTGTCATCTTTGTCCATGTGGGGCTGTTCGACACTGAAGGGACACTGACATCGCTCTCTCAAGTTCCCACCCTCCTCCCTGCACCCCACGAGAATACCCGGAGCAAATCCCACACCTAGCCCAGGCCGCCCGGTGGCCAGAGGAAGTTTTCAACGGATCCTTCCCCCAACATGCACTCTTTGGGTACACCTGTCCCACCCAGTGTCCTGAGAGTCCCCCGCTCTGGAAGGTGATGGACGTGGAGTCCGTTGTAGACTGGACTGTCGGTTTTTTTTGTTGGATGCAACCAAAATGTTCCAGGACAAAGTTGCCTCAAGACCCGTGCGACTTCTATTTTGAATGGAGGAGGGGGAGGAGGAGGAGGAGGAGGAAGAGGAGGAGAGAGGGAAAGGATGGGGCAGTCCTTCTCTCTGGCTGCGTCTTTCCGGGGGTCCAAAAAAACAAAAGGAGTTTTCTGTCTGTTTTGTTTAGCTTGCTTCTTCTCTTTTACTTGTAGTGACTCTTGTTTTTCTGCGAGGGAAGCCAGCCTGGGAACAGCCCTGCCCTTGGGGCCTGTGGGTGAGCACGGGGGCCCCCTGAAGTCTGGCAGCTTCTGTGTCTGGCCTGTCCTCTCCGTGTCCCCACCCCCACACACCTGTCCCAGACCCTGAGGGATGCTAGCCTCCCGTCCCTGTCTTGCTCAGACTCTCAGACAAGCGCCAGTGGCTCTGATTCTGCAGAGTGTTCAGTGGTGGCTGCCCGCTGTCCATGTCCCCCCCTGCTCCCAAATCTGAACGGGCAGGAGATCAATGAAGGCTCCAGGCCCCTTTCTGGAAGTTAATCTGGACCTGGGTGTCGGACGCCTTGGGCTGACTTCAGGAAGGACCCCTGCCTTCAAACGCTCCCCCAGGAGGAGCCCCCTGGGTTGGTGAAGGCAGTGTCAGTGGTCACCGCCGGTTGAAGGACAGGGTGCTAGGCAGGGGAAGGTGTGGAGGTGACATGAGGCAAGGGATGATGAGGACCTAGGGGAGGGACCGAGGCAGGGAGAGACCACAGGTTTGAAGTCCAAGTCTTCTGATGGCCAGGGTGGCGTGGGGTGGGGGGTGGGGGCCACTTGCCCTCCTGGCTCTATTTCCCCAGCCTGTTACCTGAGCGTGGTGGCTGAGGAGATGGTGGCCTTTGCAACTTAAAGTCTCACCTTTTGTGGCGCCTGGCAGGCCTGCTGGGCCCTGTCTTCAGTCCAGCAGAGGGGGCCACCGCTGGCTGGCTGGCCCTGCTGGGCGCAGCCCCGAACACAGCAAAATCTGTGACTCCAGGAGATTTGAAACCCGGCTCCTGTCATTTTTTGGCTTGTGGATAAACTGCTCAGCAGTCGGGGAGTAAGGGTAATACCGGGGACCCCTTCCTGCCAGGAGCCCCATGGCACTCCGTCAGCTGCTCTGTCGCCACCCTCCTCTGCATGCCTGTCCAGCCTCGCTCTTCCCTGGCCAGAGTCAGCGTCGGTGGCCGGGTGGCATAATTTAGGGACCCCTCCCTTTCCACAGGGCTGCTCTTCTGGCCTCTTTCATTAGCCATCGAGAGGGAAAATCAGGAACATTTGTTCACGCTCTGCTGGGACGCAGCCGCGGGAGGGGGCTGGGAGCCAGCACGTTGGTCCCACGGAGCACAGGCTGCTTGTGGATCAGGCGTTTCTGCAACTGATGCCGCTGAGCTAAGATGCCAGGCTGGGCTCCTCCTGCCGCCCGGGCTGCCACCCTGGACCCGCATCAGCGCTCCATCTGATGAGTGGGGGCCGAGAGCGAGCCACTTTTTAAGAAGAAAACCAGACTGACGGGATGAGACCCCGGGTTTGCACCGGGCAGAGCAGGACTTTCATCCGGGTCTTACTATCTTGTGATCCAGCCCTCGCTCCTGTTCACACACCGAGGCTGGGTCCATGAGTGAAATCAACAGCTGGAAAATGAGCACAGACAAGCTCATTGCTGGTGGGTGAGTGTTTCCATCCACGCAACAGAATGGAGTGGAGAGGTCGCTAAGCCAGGAGTTAGGAGAGGCGTGTCCCAGCCTTCAATCTCTCACAGATAGAGCTGTGTGAACTCCACAGAGTCGCCAGCCCTCTCTGAGCCTGTTTCTCCTTTTTCTTTAGAAGAATCATGGCAAGGTGGTTAGACAGCCTGGGCTCAAAGGATGGTGAGTCTTCATATCCGACTGTGACCTTAGGCCCTTCCACCTCTGGTGCCTCAGTTTCCTGACCTAGTAAAAATGGAGCCAGTATACCACATCAAACTGTTGTGTCCTGTCAATGAGATAGAACGTGTCAGATGCCCAGAACATAGTAAATGCTCAATAAATGCTCATCATCATCGCTGTCAGCATTACTGTTATTTTTAAATGACACAGTAATATTGGAAGAATCAACTTGGATCCTTTGCAATAATCCTGGCCACAGATTTGTGGGTGTGCAAAACATTTGCTCATGGGGTAGAAGACAAGGGCGAATAGTTCTTTTTTCCCTGCCTCCTTGAGGGACTCTTCTGAGTCTTATAATTGTCCTTCTGGTGGCCCCACCCCTGTGGCAGGAAGCCCAACTTGACGTCACTGAAATATCCGGATTTCTGGCACTTGAGGGAAGCTCTCCGCTCGGCCACATTGCGTCCCTCCCCTCCACCCTCTCTTTCCCGTCCCTAACTGCCGAGCAAAGACCATATGTGCAGATAATAAGTTTAAGCTGATCAACAGCGCCCAGGTCCTCCCAACCCAAGGCCACCTTCCTAGAAGCCACTTTCCACTTTCAAATAAATAATCCGCGCTCTGTCCTTTGCTTCGTGTCTGGCTGGCCCGCCTGTCTGCCTCTGCCCCTCTTTGGCTGGGTGACCTGGGCTGGGCCCGGTCTGTGGTCTAAGGCTTCGGGGTCATGAGCGCCCAGGCTGCCCCTCCCTCCTCCTCTCTCTCCGGGCAGTTGGCCGCTCTGAATCAGTGCAGCGAGGGTCTTCACGGGGACAAACACTATGGGACAGGAGCTGGACCCTGCTTCGTAGGATGGGCAGATACAGCCCCCGCCGTATCCCTGGCCCATCTCTTTCTCTGACCTATCAGCGAAGTCTCTTCAAGTCTTGCGCCCAAGGTCCTGTGAGCCCAGGCCCCGGGAGGGAGCGCTGAGGTCTTGGGTGGCTCCTCCGCCCTGCTTCTGGTTACTGTCCAGGCTCAGGGCACCTTCTGAGAGTCTGTCTTTTTTCCCTGCATATGGTCCTTTGCCATCTTGGGGACAGGGAAGGCTAAGAGTTTTGGGGTCCTGGCTGCTCACAGGCGCGGAGTAATCCCAAGAAAAAATCAAAGTTGCACCCGGGCGCGGGGCCGGGGTCCTGCGGTGTGGCCTTGGGCTCCTCATCCCTCAAATCAGAGTAACAACAACATGGGAAGCGAAGTCACCCGAGCTGCCGGAGCACAGGCCCCAGGTCTCAGGGGCCTGACGCAGCGCTTGACCTCATTGATGGTGTCACTGGGCCAGCTCCCCGCAGTTGCTCCAGGAGCCGGGCTGAGGGCGACTCTGCCATCTTTGTGGGGGCACCTGTGGCATCAGAGTGAGTGCAGGAGGGGAAGAGGGAGGTGGGAAAGCCACACCGACACTCCATCCTGAGGCTGGAGGACTGAGATCAGAACTGTCCCCTGAGGCTGGGAACGTCAGGAAGTGTGTGGACGTTTGGTGGCCACCGTGGCCACACATTTCCATGGGCCGGGCGAGGACTTGGATGATGCCTTCAAGATTTGCAGCGCAGCCCGGCCTGTCATCAGCCCTCAAAACACGGGCTTCCTTTCCAGATGATTCCTGAGGTGGGCTGCTCTCCACCCACCGCAGAGCGTGGACGTGGAAGTTATTATTGTGCCTGTAATACCCTGGAGTGGGCGGGGCCCTGAGGGCTGTCAAGGTCAAGGGCACCGCCAGGCCCTTGACCTTCCGCCCAGCGCTCTGCAACCTCCTTTGGCTTATTGAAAACTTACTCCTCTGAGAACTTTTTCCAGAACTTCTTCCAGGATCTGCTCCTGCTCCTGTTTCCGCCTCCCAGGCTCCAGTGGTGTGGGCTGGAGGAGGCAGGGAAGGTGCAGGAACTTTCTGGAAGCGAGATGGAAGGGTAGGGGCCTGAGGTGAGAGAAGCCATCCTCTCAGATATTCTTAGTGGGAGCGGTGTTGGGTGTCCAGCTGGCATGGGCCTCCTCCCTACCTGGGTCATAAGGAAGAGCCGCCCCAGGCAAAGGCATCTCCTGGGCAGAGGCCAGAGGGGGCCAGCAAGGGACTCAGGCCCAGAGAGGTACCGCTCCCCTCCCGCGGCCCAGGCTGGATTGTCCTGTGGAAGGACCTGGCCTCCGCGTGAAGGGGGAGAAGGATTCCGAGCTCACCACCAGGCTTCCTCCAGGCCCACGGATGCTGTGAGCCAGGCTCCCTGCCACCCACCCGCCCCCCATGTGGCTCCTCTCCTGCTGGGACAGATTGCAGTGTGCTCTGGCTGGCCAAGTGTGCAGAGCC